TTCGTAAAGTTTAAATTTGTGTCCTCGAACTGATTTCGTGGCTCGTCGTTGCATACGCTCCATGGTGTCCATATCCTTTTGGAGTGAGGGAGGAGATACTATGTTTCCGTACTCTAAATGGGGACGGATAAAACTATTGAAGATTGTGTGGAAATTCCTTCCGTCAAACTGGCCAAAAATGCGCTTCAACGTTACCAGTGCACGGTTTGCTCGAAAGGCATTTTTGTCACAGTTGGAGTAAGACTTTAAATCATGGGACACCAGAACTCCTGAATCTTTTTCTACTTGGGATACTACTAGAGAGGAGTTTCCTAAGTTATAACTGTAGTCTGCGACATCTCGCAGATGGACTACCTTACAATTTGAAGTATTAAAAGTAAGTCCATTATTATCTGCTCAACTTCGGAGTTGCAGATGAAGCTTTCATCAGTATAGTTGATGTGGGTTGGTTGAAACGTCCGAAAGTATTGTTCGGTTAAAAGTTTAGTGGCGTCGCCGTCGTCGTAGGTCGGGCCATTAAGACCTAGCAGTTGGGAAGCTCCAGTTTTGGCTTGACGAAAAGAGGCTGTATAACGGAATGAGCTTTGCGGATTAGAGGCGAATTTGTCAATAAGCTTTATCTGGTACTGAAGCCTATCTTCTCTTATAGCCTTCGTGCATATGTTCCTTATATGTTTGTATTGCCTGTACGCTCCGTTGTTATCAGTTCGTTTGTACTCTACCCAACAGTGCCTTTTGCGGCCTAGCAGGCAAGGTTACGGTTCTTGATTATTGTAGGTGGCTTGAAGCTTTTGGGAACCGTTTGATGAACTGAATAGTTTGTAGCACATAAGAGCGTGTGCAGTAAGAAGTCCCAATGACCGTCCACATCGAGTTGAGGGTGAACATCCCAAACCACCTGTTGTAGATAGTCGTGTAGAGCTGGCACATTCAAACGTTTTAAATTCCAACGCAAGTTATTGGTGGGATACCTTAGCTTAGTTTCGCTGACAAAACTGAAGGCAATGACGGCATGATCTCTTTTTCCCAGAGGAGCCAGGATTGAGAGGTTGTCTACTAAGAATTCTTCGTTTGTGAATACAAAGTCCAAGTGCGATAGTGTCTGACTGTTTCTCCAACGAGTTGTCGACCTCACGTCCCCTTATTTTTTCCATTTCCTTCTTTAAATTCAATTCAATATTCTCAATTGCACAGACCCGATTTATTATTATTAATATTCTGCTATTATTGCTCTAAATTTTTTTTTAATATGGCAAGTATAATGCTGACATTATTGAAAATTGCGTATTATTGCATTTTTTGAAGAAACCCGAAATGATTTCTTCACAACACTTATGTACCCATAAGATGTTTGTGAATAATAATACTAATAATACTAATATTATCCCGAGAGAGAGCGAGGGAGATTAAAGTCCCCTAGAATCAGGATGTGTGTGAAACCGAGACGAGTAGAGCGGGATAGACCTTCGAGCATACGACTATGATAATCGATGTCGGCAGCTGGCTTCCTGTAAATGACTCCGACTAGACACCACGAAGTACAGAGCACCATATGGATTCCTCAAGATTGTTAAACTCGAGATTATGAACTTGGTACACATCCAAGCAAGAACGTATTTATACGGCTACTCCGCCCCCAATTCCTGATTTTCTGTCGTTGCGAAACAAGGAAATCCCAGGTAACGCTAACTCCTGATCCGAGAACAGAGAAGATATCCAGGTTTCAGATATTTTTATCATTTCTACCATTGCTAAGTTCACGTAATTTATTCATTTCTTTTAGTAGACTCGCGGCGTTCATATATAAGCAGTTTATGACTTCAATTTGGAACTCGTGAGCTTCGTCCTGTTTGTCTGTATGAGGCTTTTAAACAAACTGTACTGCACCTCCGGATATTTGAATGAGTATTATCAGCTAGTATAAACTTTTACTTTCTACACGGAGCAGAAATGTAATGTTACGTGAAACAGGTCGTCATTTTCAGAAACTTAAATCAATTATATGTTAAATAATTCGCTTAGTTTTCCTTATCCAGGTTTGAACTGGGGTTCTAGACCCGGCTAATGAAGAGAACTTTTCCACCCTTCCACGGGGCGACTGTAACTCTCGAAGCATTTTGTGCCAACAGACTCCAGTTGCCGACTGGAATCCATATGCATCGCGATAGGCCACATTATATCAGAATCATGCAAAAAAACAAATTGCAGGTTACCATTCCAATTGTAGATCATAAAAAAACTAGGAAAGAACAGGAGCTACTAAGTTGGAAAACACTGTCTAGGTAGGTTACCTGCTCATTCATATAAGAATCATACAGATGAACAGGGTGGGGAATCTTACGTGCTTCGAATTGAAAGCATAAACTTTTTATCCATGAACGCCGCGAGTTTGTCGAATAAAATGGATGAGCAGCGTGAACTCAGTATTGCTAATAACACTCATCTGATAGTAATATCTGAAACATGGTTATCTTCACAATTAACGGATCAGAAGCTAGCAATGCCCGGCATGTCTTTGCTTCACAACGACAGAAAAACAGGGATGAGGAGGCTGTATAGCCTTATACCTACGATCTTGCTTGTAAGTACATCAAGTGTACAACCAAGAATTTATCAATCTTGATGAATCTGTATGGTGTTCTGTAAGACTGTAAACCAACTCAATGTGTTTAGTTGGTGTTATCTAAAGGAAGCCCACCGCTGACATGGAGTAAGACAATCGTATGCCAGAATGATTATCCCGCTCTACTCGTTTCCGATTCACACATATCGTGATTCTCGTAGATTTCAACCTTCTTAAAGTCCATTCCGCTGAACATACGTAAATTGGAGGTGAAAACTACTGGAGCTCGCTTCTTAAACCTCATTAAAGCTCAGGGATTATTTGAAAAGAGAAAACAAGATTCACTACCAGATAAAGCTTATGGTTAAATTTGCCACCAATTCGAAAAGCTTATTCCGTTATGCAGCCTCTCTTCGTCAGGCCAAAACTGGAGTTTCCCAACTGCTAGGTTCCAACGGTCCGCCCGACAACGACGGTGACGTTGCTAACCTTCTGGCAGGACAATAATCTCGTAAATTTCGACTGACCTATACTAACTACATTGATGAGAAATTCACATGCAACTCTACGGGACTTTCAAAAGTGAATTTGAGCGCTGACTCGATGTACCGGAAACTGCAGCACCTGAAAAAAGAAACCTCCTGGTCCGGATATAGTCGATTTTGATATACTGAGGGGAGCAACTTCAGCCTTGGCAACGCTGCTTAGCGTGCTGTTTCCACACACGCTAAGCCGAAGCGAACTACCAGAAATTCGGAAGCTGGCCCACATCACACCAATTTTCAGAGGAGGTCGACGCAGCGAACCTTCAAGTTACCGACCGGTGGCTTTTGTCTCTATACCTTCAAAAATTATGGAGTCCCTGATATGCGTTGGTATGCACGACTATTTATTATCTTTTAACTTCTTGTCAACCCAACAGCGTGTTTTCAGGAAGTAATTCTTCTATGACCAACCTGCTGACCGCAGTGGACAGACGGACAACCATTTTGATCGCAAGAGGGCGGTTGATGTCATTTACTTTGAATTCGCGAAAGCTTTTGACAGGATCAACCATATATGTCTTATCAATAAGCTAAAACTATTGGGTGTCAAATCACTTTCCATTGATTGCATCATTTCATATATGAAAAATTGACATTTTAAGGTCAGGGTTAAATTCACATTATCTATGGCTATGTAATGTCCTAGTGGGGCCCCAGGGCTCAGTACTAAGATGTCTTCTGTTCTTGAGTTATATAAACCATCTTACACAACAAGTACCATCTGACTTATTTCTCTCCATTGATGATGTGAAGGCTTTCAAGAGGATTGTTCAACCATGAGGGTGGACTAGCACTTGAGGAGGATCTGACTCGACTTCAAGGCTGGGCAGACGACGACGGTTCTAACTTTAACACTTCGTAGTGTAAAGTAGTCTATCTGAGACATGTTGCAGACTGCAACTAAAACTTAGATAACTCCCTTCTAGAGATATTTCCGGTTGAAAATGATCTAGAAGTGTTGGTACCCTACGATCTGAAGTCTTACACTAACTGCAACAAAGTGCCTTCCGAGCAAACATTGCAGTGGTAACGTTGAAGCGATTTTCGGCCAGTTAGACGGGAAAACTTTCCACCTAATCTTCAAAAGTTTTATTCGACCCAATTTACAGTACGGAAACATAGTATTTACTTCCTCACTCCAAAAGGATAAGGACACTGTTTAACATAGCCAACAGAGAGACACGAAATCAGTTTGGGACTCATGTTCAAGTCTTCTGAAGAGTACCTCCAATCGCTGAACCTCTGCCCATTAGAAGACAGGCGTCTAAGGGGTGACTTCCTGAAGACATACAGGATATTTAACACTTCTGAACATCCATAATGTTTCTAAGTATTTGAATTGTCGTATGAACTGGGAATCCCAGAATTAACGTAATCGAGTCAAGAACTACTACACAAGCACAAACGAATGTGTTGTATTTGGAATTCGAAATCGAGCAATCAACAAGTACAAAGGTATCATTAGTTCGTTCAAACACCACAACATCCTCTTAAACCCCCCACTCAAGCTTAGTCCCAACACACCACATAGAGGTATCACCCAGGAACCGGAGACACAACATAGCAGAACGGACTGTAGGTGCAACTTCTTCTCCTCAAGAGAGGCCAAATGTTGGAACTCGGTTCTGGATGAGCTAGTTCAAGCGACTTCAAATGAGTCGTTTAAGAAAAAACTTGACATATACTTAAGGACTAAGGAAAGTATCTTACTGATTTATCAACTTTTTTTCTTTTCCCGCCTTTATCATTACTATATGTAGGTTCTTGCCTGGAGGTATATGTGATCCACTGCTACTAGATACGGAAGCCCGTCAAGCGGAAGCTTCTTCTATTCCGTCCAGAACCATTTGAACCATTTGAAGGCCACCTTTGTTTTGGCGCGAACGTCTGAAATGGAACAATGCAAGGTAGAACGCAGTCTCCATTTGGCACGTCGTCAGCAGTGTGCGTGTTTAATTCAGGAAATTGGGTCAAGGTTGCAAACGTAAGTTTTTACTGAAGTAGTGTGTATCCCTGTCTGCTTCATACAGAACACAGGTGGTCATAAATGCAGGCATATATTACATGCACTACTTCTACGAAGTTTTTTCTCCAGAAACTATCAAACCGATTTTAGTCGCAATAGCTGCCTTTTATTGTGCATGCAAGACAGAAGAATTTTCTAGGAAACTATCTTTCTTGATCAAGGCTGCGTATGATATTTTGAAGAGACCGGCACCTGATGAGGGGTCAGATGCTTTCAAGAGACTCGTTCAGAATGTTCATGCTTTAGAGGCTACTATTCTTATGGTCATTGGGTTTCACACTCTTGAAGTCAAACAACCACATGTGCTACTCATTAAGGCGATTCGCGCAAATAAATTCCCGAAGGAAATAGCTCATACGAGCTACTATGTCTGTACTAATATACTGCATCTCACCACTTTAGTATTACGACATTCTGCAGAAGCGATTGCTGCTGCTAGTCTTTACATTGCGGCGAAGTGGAATGGAACAGACATCCAGTCGTCAAACGGGGATTGGTTCCATATTTTTTCCCCGATGCTGACTTTTGAGGAAATCTCTAAAATAACAGACGAATTCACCCTTACTTTCCAAGAATGCGATTTAAAAATCAGAGAGCAACTGCGCTGTTCGCTTCGAGTAAGTCATTTTACTTCAGATATAGTATCTAGTCCCGAAAGTTACAAAGAGAACGAAGAGATGATCCTGTCAATAATCCTCCTCGAACTCAAGAGCCTCAGAGGAGACCAGTTCCTGATTCTCAGCAGAAAGCTGATTCTTGGAAAGTAAGTCCTTAATAATACTTTTACGGACGTTTCAATGAGTAATCCAATTTGTTCAGTCATTTTTGAAGCTCCTGTTTACGAAAAATGGTATCATAGTATTGCATTCAGATTGGGTGACCAGTGGTATTTGTTTGTTGCAACTCAAGCGTATCTATCTTCGGATTGTATCATCTAAAAGATAAGTTATCAAGGTGACCATTTTCCAACTGGAAACCCGTTTGTGAGTGCTGATAAAATTGATGGACATCACCGTCATAAAAACTGAGTTTTAGCGAATACTATCTCCATTGTCGCGTTTATTACCAAACAGATATCAGTATCATTTTATGACTAGAGATGGTGTAGCTGGTTATATATCCGCTTGATATTTCTGACAATAGTTCTGATATAATATTTTGTCACGATAAAATGTTCTGGTATCAACGTTTCTTGGAACTTGAACAGAGCCAATATATCTGTCGAAAAGCGTTTATTTATTTATTTGAACATATAAATATTGGCATAAAGGGGCACTGAATACATATGGGCCATACAAGTCACTTCATTTGTGTATGGGCTGTGATACTGACCGGGTGCTTAGAGCAAAGCAAATGGTTTTCTTAGAGGGCCATGCCCGGAGCATTCGATCTTAAGGTCTGGTTCACAAGGCAGTGGAGCAGCGTCAGAAGATGCGGTCACATGGCAGCCAGTGACCAACAATAAGTTCATACTCCATTTGTTCCTTCAGGATACCGGAGCTCATGTGCACGATTGGTTTGGAATCACGGTTTTCCAACCGCCCGGTTGAAGCGTCGGACATTCGCTTTCCATCCTCTCAATTTCGTAAACAACACCCTCATCGCGAGAAGGCAATGAGCAGGAATTTCCTGACAGTGGCCATGTGAGAGCATTTCAAGAGGGAGAGAGATCTCTCCACCCTCGGCTGCATTTCGGGTGAAAAACGTTAAAGCTAAAAGGTTCCGTTGAGGGATCATGTGGCGAATTCTTATTCACGACTTTATTTATAACGTAGAGTTTCTGTTACAACTATTCTAAATGAATGTAGTACACAGATGAAGTCAGTACTGTGCAACTGTGAGAGAGGGAATGGTGATTCCATCTTTAATATGATCCATAATAATATTTGGCAAAAAGTTAATTCACTTGAAGAGAGCAGCTAAGACGGTTTTTTTTTCGATAAAGAATTCATTTTACTTTTAGAATGTTTTAAAGCCTCCAACAGGATAACTTTTCTCAGTCCATGCCCAATCATGTCTCAAACCAATCAGTTGCATGGTCGTTAGTATTCCACTCAGAAGTTCTTGGCTAACCGAAGGATATAAGCTCTATACATCTATCTTTCATACCACTACGTATTGTTAAGAGCCGACATGCTCCACTTTTCATACCTAGGTTGAGTAAAGAAAACTCAATGTGGAATTCACTAGGTTAACATTTGTAAAACATACGCAAGCCATCTAGTATTCTAAATACTTATGCCTATCGAGTTATTATTAACGGATATGAATACTGCTAAACGTTGGCATTATTTACACATTGTTGTATGCAACCTTTCATGGACGGTGATAATCGAACACAATTCCTGCACATCCTCAGCTTAGAAAGGAAAGATTTCGTGACATTTCCAAGAAGTAGCCTTGGTAATGCTACTTCTACAAACAAAGATCGTCAGACTGTCTTGAAATCGTGGTATTGTAGAATCGAGTTTAAAGTTTTAACGTTAAAACAGCATCCCTTAATGTGGTTACTGGTTTGATGCATTTATTCAGGATCACTCATATATCAGGTTGTATCTTAGAGAGGTATTCCAACTTGCCTGCCTAGTGACCATCTGTTTTTCAAGTTCCTACCTTCTCAACTGATGATTTAGGCTTTGACGTTTTCAAGCAGTAGTTAACATGTTAAAACCTCACTTTATGTGCTTCGCTTTATTCATCCGGTTAGTATCGCTATTGCTCATTCAAACCAGCCTAAAATCGGGTACATAGAGCTCTACCTGGTAGATTGTTTTTCGAAGCGAGAAAAGTAATTTCCATAGACATAGAGAGTTCATCATTTGTGTGTGGGCTGTGATACTACCCGGGTGCCCAAACCGAAGCAGGTGGTTATCTTAGGGGGCCGCTCCCCGAGCCTTTGACCTGAAGGTCTAACCCACAAAGCAGTGGAGCATCGTAAGGATGCGATCCCATGGTAGCCGGTGACGAACGATTGGTTCATACGCCATTTGTTCCCGCAGGATACTGGAGCCCATTGGTTTGTGATCCGGTTAAAGCGCCGGACATTCGCTTTTCGTCCTCTCATTTTTGTGAACAACATCCCCGCCACGAAAAGGCAATGAGTAGGACTTCTCTGGCAGAGGCTGTGCATGCGCGGCCGTGTGAGAGTATTTCGAGAGGGAAAGCGGACTCTCCCCACTCTCGGCCCAAGGCATGCAATCCGCACTTAATCAGTTGGCAATCAGTGTCCGTAGGTACGGTATGTGCTTTGCACCTTCGAAGTGCAAAGTACTTCTACAAGACTGGCAGGATTCTAATCCTGTACTCACCCTGGATGGTGAGCAGATAGAAGTAGTCGAGAAGTTCGTGCACCTAGGTAGCTGCATAAGTGCTGGTGGGGTTGTGAGTGATGAGATCAATGCACGTATAGTGAAAGCCAGAGCGGCTTATGCCAATCTGGGCCACCTCTGGCGCCTTCGTGATGTTACTTTGGCTGTAAAAGGTCGGATCTACAACGCGTCGGTGAGGGCAGTTTTGCTCTATGCTTGTGAAACCTGGTCTCTCCGAGTTGAGAACGTTAGAAGACTCTCTGTGTTTGATCATCGCTGTCTCCGAAGGATTGCTAACATCCAGTGTCAACACCATGTCAGTAATGCAGAGGTTCGGCATCGTGTGTTCGGGCACAGAGATGATAATTCAATTGGTGTCACCATCTTGAAACACCGACTTCGGTGGTTTGGACATGTTCTACGAATGTCGTCTCTGAGAATTCCACGTCGTGCATTATTTGCCGACTCTGGGACTGGTTGGAAGAAGCGGAGAGGTGGTCAGTGCATGACATGGTGTCGTGGTATGAAGGAAAGCTGCAAAGGACTGGCTTGTGTCGGTCCTTCACGACTCCCTGCAATTAGAGAGCAGTAAATTATCGATCGGACCAGTGACTCATAAAACCCGTACGCGCAGTCTAGAGTCCTTATTGATCCTGCTTTCCGCCTAGCCCATCCAGTTAAGTCCAGAACACTAATCTCAGCTTCTGAAACATGAATCATTTATTTCAAGCATACTGCGTTTATATACCAACCAAACAGATCACAACGTACCATAAAATATGAAACAGCATTTGTACAAGAATTAGCCAAATGTGGCTGTGTATGAGAGAGGTAGCAATTAATAAACGACATAATTCAAGAATTTTAAATCTTATAATAATAGTTCATAGGTCAAAATAAAGCTCATAATAAGAGGGACATGAATATGAACAGTTTAGTTATTTAACAACCATACGACAAAATTATACGCATATTATTGGTCCATAAATGGATCCCAAAAGTTACCATTCTTTATTCTTATCAGGACATAACAAAATTAACGTTGTCAATCTGGGATAAAGCAAAAACAAGTCATAAAATGATCATATGTAACCGACCTCAAGTTTTGTGGTCACTTTCTCAGGTTAACAAGTGCTGTATTTACTAACTTGGTTTATTTTTCTCAATCCGCCAGAGAGATGTGTCCTTGGCTGTTTGGGCAGCCGGCAAAATGCACTCCTTACAGTTCTCATGCTAATCTTGTTCGTCATCGAAGGTCTTCTTTTTATTATATTTCTATTTATACTATTAATTCACTCCAACCTAATTTTTTTTTCGCCGCGTGTCCAATCGGGCTAATGATTCACGTTTACTAATCGCTATCCCTAATTTCACTAAACCGCTCGATGATATGTGTTTAACCTTTCCGTTTTGACTCTGACAAATAGGATAATAGGCTCATTTTATTGTGGTATGTCTGTAACTGGTGTACAAGATCTCAGTGTGATTATCCACTTATCTTCATACACCCAGTGTACGAAATAGGTACGGTGCATCTTTAGAGTCGTTAGGTAGATCGTTGGATTCGAAAGCAGGACATACACTCCTTGACTGCATAATTGTTGACAATCGCTTGTGCCTTATCAGATTAAACAGGACAGTACAAACACAAAAAGGGGGTATAGCAATTGTGTCCAAACTATTGGTTTCCGTCATAGTTCGTAGGTTGTTCAAGATCCAGGAACGATTGACTCGCAAGTAGCAGATTGATTTTCGTTTTAGTCGAGAGTGTTTTATCATATCTTCACCCTTCGCCAAATGTTAGAACACTGTCGTACTTATATCAGACCAACAATCGTAGTGTTTCTTGAATTCAGGGGCGCCTTCGATTCGTTGAGGCGTCATAATTCTTCTAAATGAAGACCTTCTGACTCCCAGGGCAGAGTTTAAAAGGTTTGAATAATTTTTTCTGGTTAGCGTTTTTTTAGCGAGTTAGTTTTCTACGGGATGGGGACGCTAACCCCATGCCCAACCCTCCTCCTTTATCCGGGCTTGGGACCGGCAGTAGCCCCCGGAGGGACTCCAGGCGGAGGATTTTCAATACAAATGTCAAGACAGTTCTACTGTATGGGGCAGAAACCTGGAGAACTACAAAAGCCATCATCCAGAAAATACAGGTGTTTATTAACAGTTGTCTACGCAAAATACTTCAGATCCATTGGCCGGACACTATTAGCAACAACGTACTGTGGTAGAGAACAAACCAGATCCCAGTGGAGGAAGAAATCAGGAAGAAGCGCTGGAAGTGGATAGGACACACATTGAGGAAAGCACCCAACTGCGTCACAAGACAAGCCCTCACATGGAATCCTGAAGGTCAACGGAAAAGAGGAAGACCAAAGAACACATTACGCCGAGAACTGGAGATAGACATGAGAAAAATGAACAAGAATTGGATGAAACTAGAAAAGAAGGCCCAGGACAGAGTGGGTTGGAGAATGCTGGTCAGCGGCCTATGCTCCATTGGGAGTAACAGGCGTAAGTAAGTAAGTAAGTTCGATTCGTTGAATAGAACTGTTCTCTGATATCATCTACTGAAGAAGGGTGTGTTCGAGGAGTTTATCAACGTCTTGAGAGCTCTATGTGCAAACTCTTCCATTGTTTCATTCAAGCTGTGAGGTTGGGTTGCTCAGTCTCATCATTTTCTAAAGTTTCGTCATCTATAACTTTCTAGAAACAGCTCCGATGGATTTGGGTAATCGTGGTGTGGATCTGCTGCCTGAAATTTTTTTCGGAGTATGCGGATGATATTCTCTCACTGGGCGACGATATCCAAGCCATGCAGTCCTCACTTAATCAGTCTGCCTAGGTATTTCCTACGACTAAATTACTACCATTATTAGTATTTCACTTGTGCTCTTTTTCTATCATATTCACTTTCTTTTTTCTATCTCTTCACAACCTCATTATTATTGTGTAGCCCATGTATGTTATAGTGTCTCCTAGCACCAATCTTTATGTGCTCATAAAAATAAACACTGTAAAAGTCATTAGGATGTTCACTTTTCAAGTAAGTGGTAACCTCGCTCAAGGATAAATCTTTCCTGGTACTCGTACTTGGAAGCTCTCCAGAAAAATGAAGTAAACGATGAAAAAGATATATGAAAGGATATTAATCATTATAGACCAAATAGCACGGCATATCATTATATCCATATTTTATTGGAAGGTATTTTAGAATAGGATAAAATGAATATCCAAAAGTACTACCTTGATCAGTATTGAACCATTTTATCAAATCTTAAATTTCTTTTAAAATAGTTCCAGGGTGCCTTAGCTGACTCATAACTACTTATTTATGAATCAGTGAAATTGTGTATTTTCCTAGAATATATTAAAGTACTTCTTAAACAGAAAAGCACAAAAAATAACTTTATTTCAGGTGAAACTGCGCCAAAAGTTCCAGTTAACCGTTTTAGTAACAAGTAAAATCCAATACGTAAAATCATTTAGAGATTGGCAGATGTTTCAGTGAATTGCTACTTATAATGACTTCCAATGGCTGCCTATTTTACTTTGCTTTTTAACGTAGACAGAGAAAAGACCTTACGGTTCGACAAATCCTAGTGCAGCTCAAGTCCCATCTCAACATCCAAATCATCATGCTCGAAGTCATGCTGGTGGCTCCCAGAATACACAGATGAATCATCCGTATCATGGACACAATCGGGCCCCACAATCACATGTTTATGGGAACGAACATTTCAATAGATCTCATTCCAACCGTCCTCCAGGTCCTGGGAATAATGAACCAGATCCTAAGCGTCAGAGATTTGATCGCCCATACCCAAATCAATGTCAACGATCACCACAACCCCACTTACCTGGTGGACATCATCCCGACGGAACAGCACGTGTAAGTCGTGTGTATGTATGTCAGTCGTGATAATTTGAATTCTATCACTTTACTGGGAAGGTAATGGGATTTTAAATAGTGTTTAAGCTTGAAGCTTTTGATATACTATTTTGATGAATATGAAGTAATAACTATGTATGATAACAAAATTGTCATTGGTTCGTTCCCTTTTTTAATACGTTATTTTTTGACGTTTTCCATGACCATCCTTATACTGTATATATACTTTTGAGTTGTGTGTCTGTTCGTTCGTGCTTTCGACTGCTTGTAGAATATACTTTTCTCTCGGCCGAATCTGGTCTTCTCTCTAGTTACCAGGGCTGGGGCGCAGTGAATAGTTTAGCTAGTTTTTTCGTTGTCTTTCTGAATCTTTGTTCCGTTCGCCGATTTCAGCTGATTTCGTAATCTCTTCAAACATAGCAAAGAAAAGTACCTCTTCTTTATTTTCTCCAACGCATTCGTGGTTAATGGTCTGCAAAGCAGTTTTGGGATCCAAACGTCCACTGGATATTGTGACGTTAACTTGAATACACAACTCAACACTTAGTAGTTATCAGTAAGTCATTTAAGGCATATCCGAATATGTGTATAAGTCATTTCAAGGGATTCTATTATCCCATCTAGGATTTTTGATGATCAGTACGTACAATTACAAAACACAAATAGCGTGTATTTCCACTTCATCTTATTAAGGTTCTGTTCATAAACCGTAAATTATTTTAATCTTGTTAAAACTAAGTACTCTTTGAGGGGTTCTGATATGCTGGTAACATAGAGAACCTCATAAATTCTATACTAAGCAGGAGCGGGAATATGAAATGGAATATATGATAGTCAAAAGTTATTTCTTTTAAGTGAAAAACCAGTGGTAAACATCTTATGTAAATTAGATAATCTAATTCATTCTATCAACTTATTGATAAATCATGGATGAGTGTTAAAATAAAAAGCCATACTTTTCTGTTGGTTTCTTTTTAGTCGACGGTAGACTTGTTTGTTTGGATGTGTGGTTGCTCATTTACTAAAATATTCTCAATTTTTTCCAAATGTGTAGTGGTGCAGTCTGATTAAATAAATAAAGTTTTATTTGCTGTGTTATAATCGGGTGCTAAAAAACAGATTTATTAAAAATTCTGGTGTTCATTTTACAAATTATTTTTACTTACATTTTCATATTACCATTATTCAGAATAAGAAATAACTACGAAAAAAAACATGTATAACATAAGTGGCGGTCATATAATCAACACATACTATAGTTATGGTTATAACTAGTAGTCTATAAACGTTTTATTGCATGAAGTAATGTCTCGATGTTTCTCTTAATCTTCATAAACTCAATTCCATTTAAAATTTATAAAAGAGCTTACTTCAAATTTATGATAGTCAAGATAAGAGTGATGCTTAAACTAATAGTGTAATAATGATGGATAGTGGCTAGCAGACTGATCAATTGCAGTCTTAAGTCTCACTGAGAAGATACAAGCCAAAACAATACCAAGTGAATTTAAATTCACCCCATCGGACAAGCAAGTGGCTATCAGGACTCAGTAGCTCAGTGGATAACGTGATGTCGTTTGAGGCGAATGTTACTGGGTTCGAGTCCCAGAGTGAACATCAACTCTGATATGCAGGTACATCCAGCTGACGAGTCCCAAGTAGGATGAAACGCGCGTCTTGGATCCCACTGCTAGTCACTATCCATCATTGCTTAAAAAAACTTGTGAATTAAGGCAATATCGAGGCATACACACAGTATGCACATATGCCAATAACAGACTGATCAATTGCAGTCTTAAAACTCAATGGGAAGATACAAGCCAAAACAATAATGAGTGAGTGTAATAGTGTAATATTCTACAATGTTATATTAAAATTTTACAAACTCATTATTTATACTCAATTTACAATTTTTTTTCAAAAGTATTTTAAAGTAAAAAGATTAAACCAATAAAATATTTTTGTGTTCGGTAATAAATAACACAAATTCTTGCTATTACGAAATAATCTTTTTTTATTAATTTCATGAGATCTGGGGTTAACCTTTAATAGTTTAAGTAACAATTATGTCATTATTTTTTCTCTAAACATATTCCATGATTATTTTTCTTTCAAAGAATATGTCACTTTATTTACAATGTAATCAAATGGAGAATAAGACGCTAGTAATCAGCTTACCAATTAGAACCAAAAATCTCTATCTTCATGACTTAGGTATATTCACAATCAATTGTAATCAAATGAATTTATATGACAAACATGAAAAAAGTTTTTTATTTGGTGAAAAAGTATAATAATAAAATCTTAAACCTTGAGTTTATGTGGATTTGAACTCATTAGAACGTATCTATACTACTGAAGGAAGTGAGTATTCAAATTCGTGTTAACAATTGTCACTTTAAAAAAATTAAAGTTACTCAAGATTAGCTAAAAGCAATCAGTAGTTAATATGTTTAATTGGCACTATGCAACGCAGGTGATGTTATCTGGGGAGTATGTTTCAAGTTTGGAATCATGGAGTTAAAAGTCGACTTCTAAATCATCCCTCCACTTTTTACTGCTCATATGTTTTGCATTAAATTTATCATATTCGTGTAGAGAATCCCAATTTCGCGTCATCTATTATACTTTTAAAAGCCACATAGTATTTCCTCATTAATAATTGTTAATATTCAGCTGATATAGATTATGAAGCCAGAGTAAGAAAGGACGAAAAAATGAAATGTCTTTTCACTGTCACCGTATACGTCCCAATAGATGGTCACCTGGATATAACCGAGGATGAGTTCCTTCACCGACGGGATTACCTTTTGTGATATCTGGGGACTTCAATACGTAGGCCAGATGTTTAAGTACGAGGAAGTTATCCAGGAGGTTGACAAGTGCTTGTTGTTCATAAGTCTAATTTTGGTCATTCACGACGCCGGATACAGTCATTTTCGATATATCAACTTGCTTTTTTCCTTTGTAGCTCAATCCTTTACCCAAAGAGCTCTAATCGCAACTAGCTGCCAATAGTGTAAATATCTGGAAGATTTCTGATCTTCTAGTATCACTCGTCTGTGTTCTATCTGTGATCTAGTACGCTCTGAGTTCATTGAGTGTCCCAATAGTCCAAGTATGGCGGATTTCAGAGTAGCTCATGCTAATCTGCTTCACATTAATGTGATAAAAATATATAGTGTACCTAACGCTGTAGTGTCAGTATCACTTTTCAGAGCTAAGAATGCTTAGTGACCCTGTGTTCGATCGTCTTTGCTTACATAAGATGGCAATACTGAATAGCGGCTAGAGATAATCATGCTCTCGTTTCCTTTAATGTCCCAGTAATATTATTTTCATCTTGTTCTTGAATATATATCTCCACTTTATTGTTGAGTCTTTCTTTTTTTTGCTCAGTGGTTTGTTTTCTGTGTGGTGCATTTCTCAATGCTTTGTTTTACCAAGTCATTTTTAATACTCAGTAAATAAATGTCCTGCTCGTATACTCTAAGTATGGTCCATGATCTAGTGTAATAAAACTGTACCTAATGAGTCACACTAATTTGTAACGTATATTACTATGTAATCTTACAAAGTAATCCCATAATTGCCTGAAGTAATTGGGGAGTTTATGGTAAATATGTTTGAAAAACTTCTACTTATCAGTCAGTCATAATCAACTAAGAACCTGGTACATGTATCTATCGGTTAAACTTGCCACACCATACAACTGCAAAATGAAATTACCAGAACAAATAGAAGGGTAGTAGAAGTAGTAACAGTGTCAATGGTTGTAGTAAAAACTAGAATTAGGTAATATGATTCGAAACGAAATAGTGAGTTCGCTGAATAAAATTATAAGTTGATTCTAAATTTTACGATCTAAGGGAAGATGAGGACTGAATACACATATACCAGTGCGGCCCATTTTAAGTTATATCACCCTTCGTCTCCAATTGTTGGTTACAATAATTGCACGAATCTCGATAAGGTAGTCTACAACTACCACCATGGCACAATCTAACTACTAGTGACTTCATTGACTGTTGCCACGTTTCGATTCTATCTCCTCTAGCTTTCTTCCAACCTGCTCCTACAATAGCCAATATGAAATGTTTGTAGGTAACGGTCCAGGTTAAATAACAAATATCCGAACCATAGGTGATTCGGACATGTACTACATATTTATGGTAGATGTAGACCATTTGGTTGATGTTCACCTAATGACCCCCAGTCAGCGACTGGAGACTTTGGATAATATAGCTCAGGACCGTTCACAAAAACGCAGATGCATTCATCTCTTATTTGCCTCTCGTTCTTGAATTACAGTATCCCTTCATTCATACCTTCTCTATCTTTCTAAGCCATATTTTAAAGGATTGATTTTTCATTGTTACATTGTCTCGATCTCTCTTTTGGTTTTCATTTTATTGTGCTAATCTGGTACGGCAACTTGGCTTAACATATATCCTTGCTGGGTTTTATTTTGATGCTTGTCTGTCCCAACAACCTCGGTTGAGAAAGATTCACAACCTCATCAACTGGTGTGTCGTGTTTGCTTAATAACCTTCGTCTAACCTCAACATTACTTACTTGGTAGTTCCAACATACTCAAGCCATGCCTCAAACGGATCAGTGATTAAGTCCCAGTAACCCAAGAACATTCTCTTTTTTTTGAAAGTCACGTTTCTCATACAGAAGGGACGGAACAAACTTCTAGTCCTTTGGCTAGCAGATAAACACACCGCTTACGTCACAGGTGACCCAGACTGGAGAAAAAACCTATTGAGCTTTTTGAATTCGATCCGAATTTCCACATACAATTAGTTTTAATGACATTTCTTTATATATTTTCACTCGCCTTCTACGGGTATATATTCAACACTAAGTTCCTTATAGTTTGCAGCGTCATGATAAAATTAATAATAACATAGAAAGGGAATGAACTAGTCTCAGTAAGAGTGAATAATAAGTTTACAGTCTACTTAGACACACTTACTATAAGTTTTCTTTTTGATAGATAACTAATAAATTTTAGGTTTTACATTCACTGATTTTTTAACATTAAAATTAAGTAATTAGTGCAGCCAGGTGTTCAAAAAAGTATGGTCGCAACATACACATATACAATTTATCATTTATGCTCATTATTCTTTGTCTTTGAACTCTGTAAATAAAGTTGTGATTTACAAGATAATTTACTATTTCTACGTCTTGACTAAAAACGGTTGTTCTTGGAATGCATTTTGCACTTCTTATACTAGTAATACACCAATTGAACAGTTTTGATAATCAGAAAATATTCATCACAGTTGTAATGAGAATACTATTTGTAGTAATCACCAATGTGTGTGTTGATCATTCCAGTGCTTCAGTTTATTTAGTTAATAAATATTTCTATTTCAAACTCATTTTCTGTACTAACTTGAGTATTTTCCACACTTATAATAACACTAAAGTTCTAACTTTTGGAATATTTTATTAATAGTATGATGTTCTTACGTGGAGAAAAAAAACTAATTTTGTTGATATGAGATTATTATTTTAAACTTCATGGCTTCATTTTATTATATCAGTTTGTACATATTAGCATTTATTCATCAAGCGTAAATTACAAACTCACATTCTAAACGGCTTAGTTGTTAAAACTTTAAAATTGCGTTACGATTTGGTAACGCACTCTATCTACTGTTTGGACACGTTAACCGTATCTCTAACTCTTAAAAATCAGTCTATCTAAGCGATCACTTAGGTCTTTAACCGGTTACTGTGTTGCATTATTTTTGTATTGTTTCTCATGATATAGTTTTTTGTTCGTAGTACATTTATCATACTTTTACGAAAGCTTACCTACAAATAAATTTAGGCAAGTCGTATGGAGAGTTCTGTCTCTCATTCTGGAGGTGGCGAACACAAAGTACACTATCCATCTGCTAATCGTATCCATGGAACAGATTACAGGATGGCACAATCCACTGGTTACAATGCTGTTCCGAATAAGGTTTGCAAGATTGATCTTAAAATCTTATTTGTTTTTTGTATTGTGATATGTATTCATAATTTCGCTACACAAGAGCATAGATTCCCTTTTCGTTGCAGCTATTGACAATTCATAAGTATAAAATTACAATGACGAATATGCTTCCACTTTTTAGTAAACAAAGTCTATAAATAAAATCGTGACATGTTATACATATGTATTAGTGGAGGTCTTCTGTAATTTAAGTAGGCATTTGATCAGCCTTCATCTGTATATTCTTATTGAGCGTGTATATAATATATATACGAAGTAATGGTCACTGAGTCTCAATTAATGAAAGCATCATAGCTAAAATGAAGACAAATTTGTATGAACAGTCATAAGTAGATTAAGATGCACATTTTCGATCCGTTTACTTGGCATTATCAGCTTGTAAATATCACCTATATGAACACGTTCATTCATAGATCCAGTATTATAACGAAACCTGATAAACTTAGCACCACAATATCAGTAAGAACAAGATCAAAACAACAATTTATAATAGTTCAGATTTGTTTCTTTACTTTGGATTTCATATTGTTTAGCATTACACTAGATGTATCATAACAACCATATTTTTTTATTGAACTAATCAATAAGCTTTTTATTTATTTAGTAAAACCTTTCGTAGGTAGCATGGTCTATTGTTCTTTCTCGTTCAAAGTTCTCGATGTCTGTAACCACAGTTGTGAACGCGTTTTATCTTTTTATTTCTTAAAAGCAACCTTACGGACGAGATGAACATGAAGACTCACGTCCTAACTCAGGGAATCTTCGTTCTGTAAAACCAGCTGGTCATCCACAAGGAAACACACGAGTGAAACCTGATCTAAATGACTATTTTTGAATAGTTACTGGATTAATATAGTTTTACGTGGTGTTTTTTGTCACATTCCTAAATTTCCGTATACAGATAGCGTTGTACATATGTCAAACTGCTTTTTTCCGTTTAAAACTATACCTACTTGCAGTTTGTTGACTCAAAACTGTCAGTTCCCCTTTCGTATTTGTCTAGTCTTAAGATAAACTGTAAAGTCTTTCTTCTCCCATTACTGTGTTTATCATTAGTGCATGTTTTTCTTGTTTTCGCGTAAGAATTTTTATATTAATTGCTTTTATACGAATGTTTGGTACTTTTGTCTATTTCTTACTACATTTGTGTAGCTATTATTGTTCAATGTATATTACCAATTTTCTTTATATTGCCATTTATTTTGTAGTACATTGAACTATAAATAATGATTTCCGGTTACTAATAGATTTAAGACTTTGTTTATGTGCGCTGTACATGATGTGTGATACAACCAGTTACTAGTTAGTGTATTGAGGTTCCGGTCACGGATTTCTATATGAGATCTGATTTTTGTATACGCTGTTTAGATACAAATACCACATTATGGCTGTTAACTTTATGAAGTTCAGGTGACTGGTCTACTTCATAACACGGAAAATAAAAACCAATCTTGTAATTCTAGAATCTGATATTAAAAAACGTCTGCAATAATTCTTCAAGGTGGTTTACCTATGCCGGTAACTGATTCTTCGTTGGTAAATGTACACTACATTACTTACAATAGACCGATGCCCTTCATCCTTATATCAATAATATTTATCGAGCACTGCTCTGTGTTGAATCTGTATTTTCAGGGTGTTCATATATGATGTATTTATTTACATTTCTATCATCAGAAATTTACTAACCACCTGCAGTGACTTAAAAAATATCCTTGCTAATTACTGAATTGTAAAACTAGGGGTCTGCCCGTATAAACACAGACATTCTGAACATTGTATCTGTTATAGAAACCCAGTATATTCCTCGAAAAAGTTCATTAAGAGCTTGAAAATATTTTATCCAATGAACGTTGAGCAGAAGTGACTCAGAAACATCTAGGACGTGTAGAGTCACATTACTGACTTGGTGGCTACATATCCTGGTACTATTTTGAGTAGGGTTCCAGATGCTCAAGTTCACCTGAAAAGCTATGGGTACCCACAATTTTATGTACATGAACTAATATCGGAGTGAAGCGTCCATCTAACATTCTGCACACTTTTTCTTCTATTCAACTTATGTACATTAGACTTGGGCCATTGAAGCAGCTCAGGGTACCTATTTAGTCAGAATATTCGACAGTATTGTCGTACGTTGTTATTAATAAATTTTATTGGATTAATGCGTTGGGAAATAGGCTAGATTACAGTTGTGATAAAATTTATCAACTGAAGTTAACTTTCCAATCCTCTTATCTCTTATTTGTAATATTGGTATAAATCCAAAGCATGATGTAAATATTATTGTGGAATATACATTGTCATATGATCTGCTTGTCACCCGCTCATGTTTTTCTATTCATTTGGATCTATTAGTTCACATCTAGTTTGTCAATCAGTACTCAATATGCGCTTGATATATTACTTATGAATTGAATCCATTCACTTAAACCATCCGCACTTGATTCCAAAGTTAAGCTTTGATAACTGCTTTAACGGAAGCCAAGTATCGTTAGCAGTTCATTGGTATGCATTTTTTTAAAGAAATGAGTTCCTGTTCTGTAAATTCTATTATTTAAGGTTGCAGAAAACTCGTGTTATAAGGTTTTCTACAAAAATCTGGGAAAGAGAACTGTGCATTCTGATGATGTAAACTTTCCCTTTTTGTAAGGATGTTGTGAACAAGGAATCTCTAAACGAAGTAACAGCTACAAAGAAACATGTTTATCAAAGTATCTTGTGTCTGTACACTGATGTAAAAATGTCCATTCAGTGTAGGCAACCATATTTACAATCTAATCCCAGGAGTAGTTATTTCGATCAGACAATATAATTTCGCTTTCTATTGATATCTAGTTGATAACTCTTGTCACTTGAAGTATTTTGTAACCCAGCTGGCTTTAGTATTTGATTATTTTTCCGGTCAGTTTTGCATATATTCCAATACTTGACCTGTATGATGGCGTGTAAACCAAAGTAGTCTTCGGTGATCTGAATTCTTTCAGCACTGATTAGGCGTGGTATTCTCGCTAACTGATGTTTCTCTTGTACTTGTTTGTACACTTATTACGAATTCTAAATATATTACATTCGGCCGTACTCATCAAGTTCTAACTATCTTAGGATACACTGTTCCGGATATTCTTGGTAAGCAGATTAGTTCGAATACTTCTTAGTATCGCACTCATAACCCGACGGCAGTTCCGAGAAATGACCAGATAATTTCGGTGTTTTTGCAACGATTTTGGAGATATCATGTGAAACGTTCGACTTTACAAAACAGGCCACCGGAATTCTTCTGTGCTTAAGAGGGAGAGCCCGAAGTCATCTTATAAGCTTATTCAGAATGAAAATTATCAGTGCTTCACCAAACAAAACATATGCTGAGTTAATTATCGCAATGCTGCAAACAAATCTGAAGTGTCTATACTGATTTGCGGGACAGTATATAAACTAATAACTAACAACATAAACACTGAGGTGTTAAAGAGTGTGGAAGCACACAGTGGCAATTTAAAGGTCGAAAATAACTAATCGAGGTCTACAGGACAAGCTGTGAGTCATATGTGGAGAAATTCGAACACCTCACTTCTACTTGTCCTGAAGATCTCGTGTAGAAGTACCTTTAAAGCTGCACGACCAAATCATCCTGACTAGGGAGAAAAATTCAACTTGAATCACTCACATGAACTAAAAAACTCTATATTATCTCAAAATCATATGAGCGCGGCACAATTGTCATTGCTCAATAAAATGGAGGCTTTCAACAAAAGACAGGCTTCCACTCGAGAACATTTGTATCTTATCCACGAGTGTCTACATTAGTATGTTCCACCAACAGGTTATAGTATTCTAATTATAGTATGAATTAGGAATTCCAGGATTAACGCAATTGAATTAAGAAGACACAGGCACAACGAATGTACTGTATTTAGAATTCGAAATCAAACATTCAACAAGTACAAAAGAATCATTAGTTAATTCAAACACCACATCCGCCACAGCTTAAATAGAAGTATAAGTGTTTGTAATCGGTTGTACGTCTTCTTGTTAAGTTCATCCTGAGTCTGTCCGACATTGTATAAGATAAAAACTTTGTAGTATCTAGAAAGTGCTCATTAGTATTGGAATTAACAAACGAAATCGGAACAGACTCACCTGGAATTGTATACAACCAGCATGTCGGTTTTGTAATGAAATCATTAATATCTAGAATTCGAACCATAGATTTTTCAACACTATCCCCCCCCACGAAATAATGTTGGATCTTTATACTCCCAAGTTATGAATAATGTGGCTTCATTTAAAACATATATCTCACATTGTTTAGAGTAAACATTAGAACTGTTTTTGTGATAAGAGTAAACAGCAGTTGATATGAAATCATCCGAAATATAATAAAACTCGATGTCACTTAGTACTCGTGCTTCGCATTGGGCAGGTTTTTCACGAAGATCAAATACATTATGAGTATAGGTAATATATGATATGACATCAGGATTTGATTCTTCTGAAATATTCTCATGAAATTCATCAGGACTGTCGTTGCAGAGCGTAGGATCGTTAGAAAAATCAGCATCTATCCAAACCACATCAGGTTTTTGATCATGATTAGGTTCATTTAACATATTTTTCTCAGAATTGCAAGTAATTTCATTAGAAATATGTGAATCATTAGGAAAAGTCATACTTGGTACAATAGCATGAGAATTCTGATAAATCGGTTGATTAAGAAATGTTGTCTCACAAGAATTCTGGATTTCATTTAACTCTGAACTGCCATATGACTCTGCACTGTCTTTTGAAATCGTTGATAAAGATAAATGATCATCATGAATACTCGACTCAGTAGAATCAGAATTACAAGACTTAATATTAATTGCAGTAAGATGAACATTAGCATTACAAACTGACTGAACTTGTCCAATATCACGACATTTGAAGCATTTAGAATTGTGAAATTTACATGAATTAGAAGAGTGGAACTTGCAACAGGACAAACACTGACCAAACTTGTCCCCATCCTCGTGAACTGCATCCAAATTCAATGAATTGTCTGCATAACCTTGAGTATGCACTAGGTTGAGATGACGTAGTAATGTAGTGGACTTTTTTATATCCTCATGAATCATTTTACGAAATCTTCCTCCTTTACGACATTTGAACTTTGTATACTGAGCATAGTCTAGCAGTAGATCCTTGAGAGCTGTATAAGAAAGCGAAATGGGTTTTTCCGGCATAGCCAGAGTTCTTAATAAGCTGTATGCTTCTTTTCCAATGAATGTGAGGAAGTGTGCCACAATATTAACATCCTCATCATCTTCCTTGGTCATAGCCCAGATTTCGAACCTTTCAAAGTAATCTTCAAAAGCTTCTGAAGTTGAATAAATATCTAACTTTTCCATTGCAGGCTCCATCGCGACGCCAATATAGTATTCTAATTATAGTATGAATTAGGAATTCCAGGATTAACGCAATTGAATTAAGAAGACACAGGCACAACGAATGTACTGTATTTAGAATTCGAAATCGAGCATTCAACAAGTACAAAAGAATCATTAGTTAATTCAAACACCACACAGGTGTAAGCCAAAGGCCACCTACCAACTCCCCTGTGTAACGGAGGATAGGTAAACGAATTTGAATTTAAATGGTACTACCTGATTATGACTGATGCACACTATAGGATACACAAGTATAAATTATCCGTGGATAACAAAAAGAGAAAGTTAGAGAGAATATGCACATCAGGACACTTAATAATCTTGACAACAACCATAAAGGTATAATGCTGACAACACAAATGACAGAAAAATCCACCCTCAAGAAAAACCCAATAGAGATTTCAAGTCAATCAATGGAACCAAATACTTTAGTCAAACATTTCACTACGTCCGGTTGTAGTACTCCCTGGATCACCAACACAATTTGTGATGAGGAATTTCACGAATATTAAAACATTTTGTGGATTCTTTCAATCACTCCATTACATCTACTATGCAACTACCGGATAAGTATAAAAGGGTTCAAAATTACATCGTCGAAGTGAAGATATTCTTTGATGTATAAGCTTTAATCATCTCAATTAAACCAAGTTTGGAAAAGGAAACTTTATCCTTGCTCTACACCAACGACACAAATCTCGCAAAGAACATGGAGCTTTAATGTCAAAGTTTACTATAATTCAATTATTTATTCTTAACAACATGTTTTCAATTCAACAACAACATCTACGTACAAACGGGTGGAACATCAATGAGATTAGTACGAGTAGGTTACTTACTCAATACTTATGCCTGTTACTCCTAATAGAAGCATAGGCCGCCGATCAGCATTCTCCAACCCCTCTATCCTGGGCCTTTGTTTCCAGTGCTATCCAATTTTGTTAATTTTTTTATGTATGTTTCCTTTTCTCGACGTAATGTGTTCTTTGGACTTTCTCTTTTCCCATGGCATGGAGGATTCAATGTGAGGGCTTGCCTTGTGACGCAGTTGAGTGCTTTCCACAATGTTTCTCCCGTCAACTTCCAGAGCCTCTGCCCGATTCCTTTTCCTAGTGGGATCTGGTTTGTTCTCTCCCATAGTAGGTTGTCGCTGATAGTGTCTGGTCAACGGATCCGAAATATTTTGCGTAGACAGCTATTAATAAACACTAATACAAATATTGTAGCTAACTAAATTAATTGAAACAGACTCTCAATGTCCAGCGAGTGCAAGCAAACCATTTGATTTACTCTAGTTAGACCTGAAATATTGGCTGCTGTATATCTGAATTGTTTAAACGCACTATATGATTTGAAAGCTATGGTGATCTATTGGTAAGTTGTTGAATCATCCCATACTTCTGTTGAGTTGTTGCTTCTTCGAAAAAGAAAACCAAAATTTAAAAAAAATTCGTTAATCACAATTATTTACATGATTTTTCACTGAGTATTGTCTAAGGAGCAAAGAGTAGTGAGTAATTGACTAAATGGGTCAATATGCTTAATTGTGCGATAGAAACGAGTAATGAGTTTATTAACTGAAGGACAAATACTTTTCTCATCTGTGAAATTACCCTAATGATGATGGCAGCCATCTGATTTCGGTGCTTACTCCATTTTCTAGATATCTAAATATTTCATTCCCTAAATTTCATAGATGCAAACATTCTAGGTTATGTCACCTATCAATTCTAGTTCTCTCCTGAAAATTGTTGTGCTGGAATCTATATTAAAATCAGTTACATATTTACTTATTCTGCTTGTAGAATACTATGAATCAAACAACACAAATGTTAGGATATGTCTTGAGAAGGCCAAACTTATAGAGATTGTTATTTATATCTCATTGATAATGTTTTTTGCAAAAGCGTAAGACTTTGTGTTGATTTTGATGTTTGTTACACTAACCTTATAGCTAATTAACTGTTGTGGGAATAAAGGCGAACATAGGAGACCTTTGGGGGGTGGAACACGCATTATTTTCCCTGGACAGGCGAAAAAGGCGACATTTTTCGCGCGTTTTCCCCTTTATTTTCCAACGCATTTTACTCTTTATTTCGCTTTTGTTCATCTTCATTTCCCCTTCCACTGGTTGCTTTTGTTGTAAAAGCAAAAATCTGAAGGCGTTGAAATTTTGTAAAGTTTTAGATTTGTTGTACTTAAAAGCAGAAACAGGAGTTTAATATGTTTATTAATATTTCTATCGCAATTTTTACGCGATGGGACAAGTAGTGTTGTTTTGGTTATTTTTTGGAGTAAATCATCCGGGAACACAAATGCTTAGATGCTGATTCGTGCTGCCAAGGAGCTACGTAGACAACTGCCACATTTCAACCACATATGGATATTTAATGACTAGTTCTCTTTTTGTCAGATCGGTCGTCTGAAAGACTACACAACCAATACTGACAATACCTAGCATAAGTGATGAATCATTGTTATTGAGAACTGTCTTCTGAACTTTTTTGTTCCAGTTTGTTCAAGCCATCATCGGACTATACACTGTACGAATGCTTGTTCAATATGTCTACATAATTCTCAAGAACTCCTGATACACTTTTGACTGGTCATATACGGAACAAGGCCACTGTTGACTCAGCAAAACCGATGCAGATTGAGTACAAGTTATTAATGTTTCCATTGACAGAATCCGAAAATTAAGTTTGAAAGAAAAATACAAGTCAAAGACAAACAGAGTGCATTATTAGGTGATATATTTCCAATCTCAATCTGTCATCATGAGATAAACATATAAATAAGTTTCATTTCCCGTTTTATTTATAATGAGGGACTTATAAAGATCAAATAACGAATATATAGCTTGTTCTCTTCATAATTCGATTGTTCATCCTATGCCTTTATTATTTACAGATATTTATTCTGTTGTTGTGTTTCATTAGAATTCAACTAAATGAGTCGATTATATGACAATTATGAACCAACAGTGATTGATAAACAGTTACTAAATGATGCTGTATTTTCATTATTGCAAAAAGGAACTGTGAGCGAACTTGCTAAACAAGATGGAATCCATTTTGAAAATGTTACACACCTGAGATTGGATTATAGAAGTAAACTAGTTTCCAATTTTATTTTTATGCAAACAATTTACTAGACATTTTAAAAATCGATAACTTGTGGGCATTTAAGTTACTTGTTAAGTTGCAGCTTGATAATAACATCATAGAACGAATTGAAGGTATCGGTCATTTAACTCACTTACGTTGGCTTGGTAAGAATGTCATTCGATGGTGAAATGTAATTACTACTTTTATAATCACTTAGATTTATCATTTAATAATATTGAAAAAATTGACGGCTTACAAAATCTGGTAAATTTAGAAGATTTAACATTGTACAATAACCGAATTACCACATTAGAAAATATGGAAAATTTGAAAAAATTACAAGTGTTTTCAATTGGTAACAACTATATTACTGAATTGTTTAATGTAAGTGAAACTATTCATTAGTATGTGTTCAAGAGTTTAGATGGTAAAGACATGATTTCTGGATTTCAGCTTGGATTAAATTTTATAATGATGTTAAGAGTATCACTAAAATATAATCTACTGCAAGTTAAATATATGTTCCTCATTTATGTCAATATCACCTTAGACATTCAAATTTTGACACTTCGTTCTTTCGCTGCGATGACTAACTGATTATTTTCTCTTTATATCAGTGTTTTACTGCTCTACTCGTTTTTTGTAACTCATTTATTTAACAAGTTAACATAATGAATTTGATGTAAAACATAAATATACGTTAAGTAGATAACACTATCAACTGAACCTGAAGATCTAGTGGGTATTTACATCTTTATTTGTTCTTTGTGAAGTTACCAGTAAGTGATTCAAAAAGCGGTTATCATAATTCAAATAAAAAGTGTTTGGAAACCAGTAGTTTGTAATTAGCAGACTTTAACCTAACTACTTAACGAACATTGCAAAATATCCCGTTTTTTATGAAATTTAAAAAAACAATCAATGATAGATTAAACGATATGTTTTTGTAATGTCTCAAGTAATTAAAAATATATTTCTGACGTTATTTGCTTCACTCCGAAGAAGTGGCTTACACTAAGTTGCTAAGCGTCAGAAATTTAATTTAATTCTCATTTGGATAATATAGATTTACCTTTAGTTTTATTATTAATAATCTAACTAATCCTCAATTTATTATAAATTGGCGAGTGAAACTTTAGTAATGATACCTAATAACAAATAGAAATCAAATCCACTTTATGACTCTAGAATATGGCGCAGGTGCATCCACTCTCTGTGTTCTCCCAGATTTTAATCTTCTGAATTCTTCATGTCCCTTTCTTTTCCTCTTTCCAAATTTATTTCACTGGATTATACTCCTTGAATAACATCTTCAAACCCTAATCTTCCCGATTACTGCTTATACTCTTATTACCTCTACCACTACGGGATTTGAATCGACAACTGCATCTCTGTGCTTATGTGGTGTGGCAACTCGAACTGATGTATGTACGTACGAAGTTCTACGTTGTTACTGACTGACTGACTGACTCTAGAATATATGCATGCATATATACTATGTGAGTTTATTTTTTAATAAAAGAAATAATTCAAATCACAACACGCCAATTGGAGTTTGGACATTGTTAAGTCTATTCATTAGGTGAACAAGTTTGATCGTTAGATATGAGTATTGTTATCAATAATTATTACATTGAAGAAAATCCGCATTACGTGCTAATTGATCTTTATAATATCAGGGATATGGTTCAAGTGTTTAGTAGAAAATGATGAGATATAGGCTAGATTGTTTGATCTTCGACTACTGGACTAAAATTTTAAAAATCGTTCCACTCACTTTTATCTCAACAATTTCGCAGTATCACTAGCTTTCAAATAATAAGTTTGATTCAAAACAGAGGTGTACTAACCTATTCTTAATCGCTAAAGTACATTTAAAGCTATAACTAAGTAAGAATTTATTCACTCCTGAAAATAAAAAAAATCACAGAAAGTGTCTTAAATTTTGTGTCAATAATTCAGCCGTAATCTATAGATGGGTTAGAAACATGATTTGCATGAAAGCTAGGGTATATGTGAGATACTTTTAAAGTATTACCTTTTCACCGATGTTATCACAGAAGGATCGCTAATCATCTCGTAACTAGACGTGATGTTACGGCCAGAAGCTAAACCTTAAAGTCCGGTCCTAATTTATTGGAGAGTGAGTGACCTTCAAAACCTAGAAAATTCTAAGGACCCTTCGACAGTAAAGGAACTTAATGGTTTTCTTCATTATTCTGTCAAATTCGCGGAAGTGAATGCGAAGATTATCTTTTTTATGGATTGCTTTAACACGCACAAGTATCCTAAACGCTGCTGGAAAATTCTTTGAAGAAACAACATTTATCCAAACTCAAAATCGCTTAAACTTCATGCACAAAATGTTATCGATTCTATTCGTCCACGCATCCCGTTATTGAACTTTAACATTTTACAGAGATCTGTGTTATACGAAATATCACCTAACGAACACGATCCTTTCGACGAATATGTTACCATAGTTATTGACAAACGTACGAAAAAACTAATATCGGATCTCACTCAAAGCTTAGAAACCCACAGAAACACAACATAAATTTCCTAGCAATCATACTTCAGTATCCTTAGCAAATGTACAACTAGAAGTCTTATCCTTGGGGATAAAATTTTTTGACATAAATGAAAAAATTATTAAAATCCACACACATGTTTAATTCAAAAATTTAATCAAACAAACAAATGGTCGTAGTCCAGTCTTTGACCAAGAATTCCAACGTTTCAAATCTACTCTTCTCGATAGCTGCTACCAGTATATTAGCACAAAAGTAACAGGTAAAAGTCTTCTAACTAAAAAAACATAGAAATCAACTAAAACTACTTAGAAACATTAAAAACTTGATAAAGACGTCCAGATAAAGGTGCGGGTTTAGTGCTGCTGAAATTATAGAAGAGCAACTGATTAAAGTTTTTAAGAGAATGAAAAGTGATCAGTCAATCGACGAACATGACTTTGAGCGCATAAAACCAATAGGACCAATAATACCGCGATTATATGCTCTGCCAAAAATACACAAATCTGGCCTACCTCTTAGGCCAATGCACTGCCGAAGCAATAGCCATACATCTGGAAAAACCAGAATTGTGTGTACAAAGAAGATTGGTACAAAATCTTCTACCATGTTCTTAACGTTTTATATTTTTTTCTTTTTTATTTCTTCATACTCTTCTTCCTTTACAGCCATCTGCTTCCACATAAGTCTTCTACCCCCAACTGGTTTATTTCTGATTCTACGATCCTCCTGATTAATCTCAATTTCACCATTGTGTCTTATCATGTTGAGTCATACTGTCCCAGTGATAATTTCCCTATCTATCTTTTGATAAAAACTTAAGCCATTAACAATCAAACGATTATTAAGATTTACTTGCTTAAAAATTTTTAAATGCCTTTATTTATCCTCAGTGTCACCATGTCTAAGAGAAGTTTATTACCAGTTTTATTATAATTATTATCATCCGGTAAAAATAAGTATATATTAGCGATTGTACAGCTTTGAAAATGAAGTCACTGAAAAGAGAACTCTTCACTGAACTAATCTTTCTTAATAAATGTCTTGATGGATGTATTCCGTTCACTGAAACCGATTCCCTCTAGTTGGTTGTATTGCTTAATAATATGTGTATAGGTATATTATTTTCAAATAAGATTTATTTCTTTGGCTATTGGTGTTATCATTAATATTAGCATATTTGGTTTCATGAGTATCCATCACTAAACTATATCGTTTTATCACATTTTTTGTATCGATTAGCACTTTCATTTATTTTAACAACTAAAATCTTCATTCTCAATTAGTCATTCGTCTTAACTTGCTGAAAAATCAGTGCAAACCAAATAAGTATTACATACTTATATCAACTAGTTGTGTAATTTCAAGATGATACACACTTACATGCCCATGTGAGATTGAACTCAGAATATTCGGGTCTGGTATCAAAACAAGATACTTCTTGATTATCGATTTTCAATCATTTATCTACTTTTATTAATCCATATTGAAAACTAACTTAATCAAACTTACCTATCCACCTCTGTATTAATGTATCACATTTTTTATTTACAAATATTCTAGTATTAAGGTTTGTTCATTAGATGATTAAAAAAAACGAATTAGATTAATTCTTTTTGAAATCAATATTTTCATTTAATACAGATAAAATATTTACGTCGATTTCGCCATTTACAATCAGTATGTTTACATGGTAATCCAATTAGTAAAAACGATGACTACAAATTGTATATTCATGCTATGCTACCCAATCTATTTTATTTAGATTATCAAAGAACCGACGATAAACTTGTAAGCTGCTTTCTGAAGTTGTTTTTTTATGTTCACCTATTTCATCTTTTTCAATTTCTGCTTAGAATTTCAGACAAAAGGACTGAGTTATGTTTAAAATTAAAAAATTGGTATAGTGGATTATTTTATAATATGGTACTATTATCAATAAAAACACAAGCTAAACATTTTACAAACTTCAATTAGTGAGGTTTTCATGGTTTTTACATGCAAATATGTACGATCAACGAGGAACTACTTCGTGGAATAGTTATGTAAAGATAAATTATGAAAAAAAACATACGATAAACTAGGTAATAGCTTAGTTATCTGTGTCAAATTTAACAATGGCAGGTTAATTTTCCATGCAAGCTATAAATAGAAAATGTTGCAAACAAACAAATGTGGAACAAGCTCACAAGAAATAAAAATAAACTATTAAGTATGTTAGGAGTATAATAATAGATCGATTAAATGTCACGAGTTCATGTAAGCGCTTAAATATATTACACATGTAACTACGAAGAAGCACGATAAGTTAATTGTTCGAAAATGATTGACAATGATATAAGTTGCTCAATATTAAGCTAAATAATGTCATTTCAGCGAGAAAAAACTTTTTTTCGACAAAGCCATACAGTTGTATTTATAGCTATTTTACACATAGAACTCTATGATAATATCGAAGACTATTGAATCATTAGCAAAGTTACCAGAAGTTAATCATTTCAAGTGCCAAGTGAAGCTGCTTAATAGTTAATAGGTGATAAGAATGAAAATGGCATCAAAAGAAGAGGAGTGAATGGCTGTTCAATGGTCGAATATAGGGAAGAACATGTGTTAAAACCTCGATTTGAGAAAGGAATGTTAGGACTATGATAAAATAAAGGATTAAACATATCTGTTCTGAACTGAAAGAATATGCTTGATCTGATAGGTTATCATAGCTTCCTTTATGCACCAGTTTTTTGTTCAACTTCCCTTAAAACCAGTTTGTCTGAATCATTTTAAATGAAGATTCTGGTTGAGATAGATAGCAGTGATTGATCAAGTGGTCAATAATCTAACTATTAACTGGTTTGCATTCATCTTTAGATACCAATCCTGAGTAGTTTTCGGGTGCATTTTGGGAAAGAATACACTTTTTACGGCCAATGAAACATGATCTTCAAGGGACAGAAAACTGGTAGATACATAACAGCTTTCCCCCCAATTAAATAACTTATTCAATGACGTCTCTGAGACAAATTCCCGCTTCTACTTTCTTTTTAGCTTATTATTTGTTTTCTGTCTCATTTTATTTTTTGTTATGTTTCATCATTTTCATCTCTCTACCAAATCAAAATTTCAGATTTTCTTTTATTACAGAAATCTACAGGTTATGAAAAATATCAACTAGAAATTGATGAGATTATAAGTGAAGAAGAGACTCAATTGAAATTGAATAAAGAACTTGCTGAAAATCAAGCTAAAATAGAACTATATAAACAAGCATTTATTGATGGCATAGTTGATGAAAATATTTTTCAAAAATTATTCACTGATGATCCTGATGGCAGAGAATTATTGGTAGTTCCTGAATTATACAACAGTATTGAATTATATCCTTTTCCTGGTTGGCTTATTGAATAGTCGACAATTATGTATTACTTTTAGATGTGATAGACTGAGCAAGTCTATCAGTATCACGTGTCTGTGCTTGCACCCCATCCAAAGGCCAAGCACTCAGATATGATAAATAAGGCACGCTACTGGATGAAGCCAGTTATTCACATTGCTAAAGTTTTAGTCTTTATGTCTTATATACAATTCATTCAGCCTTCCGCCAACAGTTATTCAGTCATTCTTAGTCGTCTCACTCGAGTAGCAGGTTGCACAGGTGTACAGGAAGTGTGTTTGTCCGTACCTGAATCGGGCGACAATGGAATGTTATGTTAAAACTAAAAATATTAAAAAGGACTGATGGCATCCTTTAAAGTAATAGCCCTAGTTATCTCAACTGAGCCAAAGCTCAAACAAGACTATATTCCTACTATAAAACAATGTTCAAGGGAATCTTTATAAGCATTTCACCAATTAATCATTCGATGTTGCAAAATAGACCCAATCTATCAGTCAATAAGAAGAATGATACAAAATTGCAAGGTCAGAGAACTCAATTAAATAATGTTAACTACTGTGAACAAATAATCGAAGTTGATGTCAACAGAACATGTTGTTACTCAAATGTGCAAAAACCCCTAAGCTTAATTCCTCTCAAAGTATTTTCTGACAGTGTCCTCTGGAAAGATAATTAGAGCTGCAAGATTAGACAACCCAGCCGGAAAAACACATTTCCAGAATCTTCCCCCCTGATCTACGATATGTCATTTGATCATTATCTGGAGACCAGCTGCTAACCCGGGAGCAATGGACAGTTGTTTCCACCTATTCAGAAACTGCATAGTACTGTGTTCCCACTACTCCATACGAAATTGAACTCAAAAACTTTAGACCTCTCAGTGATCACCATGCCTTTAAATCACTAGACTTTTCAGGTAACATCAATTTGTTATGTTAGCCACATTCAAGCTATCAAAACTTTCACAAAAAGGCATCAACTATATTAATAATGTATGTAGCTCGTGTTTAATATTTGTCATAATTTAGAGATTATCTCCTCAAAATGATGAAGTTAAGGGGTAAACAATATTACAAGAAAAGGTGAATGGTGGCTAACAGTGGAATCCAGAACGCGTGTTTCGTCCCATTTAGAACTCGTCATCCGGACGTTCCTGTTTCCCAGAGTTGATATTGACTCCGGGACTCGAACCTAGTAGTGGTCGCTCAAAACGCCATCCTGGTAGCCACTAGCTAGCCACCATCCATCTTTGCATATAATAGTTGTAACTTAAGGCAATATCGGGGCAATCCGCACAGGATGTACATATACCGATAAGAGACTGATCAATTTCAGTCCTAAACATCAATGAGATTCAAACAAACAATAAAAAATGAGGTATACAGTATTTCTTAAAATCGTTCCCTTGGCATATTTAAACGAACTAAGAGTTCTATTAATTGTATAATACAATCGATTGAATGTATTTCGTTACTTTCTCTTCAGCTACATACAAGTTAATAAGTTTGATTATTTTAAAATGAGAAAACATGAATTGTCTATTAATAAGAAATAAGGCGTATAGGATGTGAATTAAGTTCAGAATTAAGGTTTTAACAAGATTTTACAGATTCTTGGAATAAAAATTCTAGTACATTCAATTTTTATTACTCAATTTGACAAAGATCTAAGAGTTTCAGAAATAAAAATGTATATGAATTAAACTTAATAGATTGTGATCAAAATAATTAAAGAGCGGAACTGAAAAAAGACCTGAGAATGTTTAATTCTCGTCGGTTACGAAGGCAGATAAAGGTTTAACCATTGACTCTTTTTTGAATACAAAGGCCAGATTTAAGTCTCTGTGAATTTCATTAAGACAAAGTTAGGTTGTTCGCCGATTATTTTGAATGCAATAGTTTTATGTCCCATATTTAGCAGGTGAACATGCCATGTAAAATGTAGTACAGTATTAATATTGTCAATTCAAACACTGAACATTTTAAGAGGATCAATATAATGTTTGACAGTAACTGAAGAATCGATAACGCAAAGATATCTGCTCGTGTTTGAAACTCTTCATCTCAAATTACATACGTCTCAATGATTGATATTATCATCTAAAATTATTATTTTAAATAACTTACAGGCTGTTTGTGTATTGCCCGTTCACAGACAATTATGATCAACACTTATTATTCATTGTGTTTGGTTGAAATAGACCTCATAGTAATTTTCTTTTCTTTAATAATCAGTAACTGAGTAGTTTTTTTCACATGTAATAAAGTCAACTACATGTGAATTTCAGTCAGATATCAACAAAAAGAACCTGAAATAGTTCATCAATGAAATGAACGAATAAATATGTTTAAGAATAAAGATTAAAAAGTTATCAAAATCCATCATGATAAAAGGTCATTAATTACAAGTAAAGGTTTTATCCCAAATGAAATAATTTTGTTCTAATAAGTTAATGGTATTAAAATCTGTAAAAAATAAGGCGAAAAATATGTGCATTCTTCATTCTAACAAGACAACAGTTTCAACTCCATTACACTCATTACAAATTGACAACTAGTATTTACGTCAATGAATAAAATATCATTCGCTATAGGGATTTAAAAGAATTAATAAAATATGTAAATTACAAATTGCTAATTTTCTTGTGTATGAAAAATGTACATATGAAATAATCTCACCGATTTGGAAGTTAAATATCTCCAATATTTTGATAATTCATCTGAAGTTCTTCAGAGTAATTCTCCAAAGAAGATCGATCTACACTGAAATCTTATCCAGTTATATTCAGATATTGATTTTTGAGTAGTAAGAAAACTTGAATGAATCAGTAATATGCAAAAAAAGTGTCCAAAATTTAAAGAACAATCAGCGTATATATATATATAAACCTTAATGTTATCAATAATTAATCAAAATTCCAGTGAATAAATGAATTTTCTGTCTACTAACAAGGATGTATTCAATTAAATCTAAAAAATCATAGAATAAATGGAAAGAATTTTTCGACCATTGAATTGTATGAAGAATAAGAAATGTCAAAGAAATGATTGTTATGTTAAACATGAAAATAAACTTTCTTTATCATTAGATATGACTCGATCATAACCTATTTATAGTTTAAATTTACTAATGATATCTAAATCTTGATTGTGCAATCAAACTTAGTTGAAAGTGAATATATTATATTCATATAATTTATTGTTCAAGTGTATGTTAATGTACTAAACTTTGAGCTATACATTTAAGCTATGTGACGGTTGATAATACGACTCAGATATGTAAACTAAAGTAAACGAAGAGGAATTCGAATCTGTGATTGACCAGTTGTAAACTGAGTGGTTGGCTCTAATAACTTAAATTATCCATTTATATGCATCATATCTGATTGTTTGATGGTGAAATAAATTTTCCGCATGTAAACCAACAGTATATCTGAGAGTCGTTAGTCAATATGTGGTGTGTGCTACTTATATTGACATAAGTAGCATATAATGTTAGTCGTGAACAGAAGGTCTGGCAGCAGGGAGACAAGAGGATCGAACAGTAAAGAATGGAAACAGGATGCAATTTGTATGACGATGCAAGAACAATGAAGTCATTTTGAGACAATTGGTGGACATTTTGCAAATTAAGCAATTACTTTATGATTGTTAGATTTTATTAACAGGTCCTGTAATTTTGTGTTCAATACATTCGATTGTTCTCACTGGTGTTCTTATTCACTACAAATATACACTATTATAAATATCTGTAAAGAAAGCTGTTGTATAACATTTAATAGCTGTAAGTTATTAGATTTAAACGGAATAATTTGACAATATCATGAACCATTGACAGTTGAACTGGGTTGGTCATACTGAGTTAATGTTCACCCAACATGTTATACTTGAACTAGTACTGAGAGGTTTAAAACGGAACCTCTTACATTTTTGTACACAAAAAACACACATGTACACTATTGTATTTATTTCTTGTGAATGTTTCAATATTTATTTCATTTAATCCAATATCACTATTAACCTTAACTTGTATAATTTATATGAACATTATCAATAACAATGGTGATGATCATAATAATAATAATCTACCTTTTCAGAAAAATTTACACATCAATGTAAATTAGTATTTGAACTTGGTATAAAAGAACATGATAAACGTAATAAAGAAATAGAATCATTTCGAAATTGTATTGAACAAGCGAAAATGGTAAATGCTGAATTAAGTAAAAAGAAAATAAATGAATTTAAATTATATCAGGATAAAGTAAGCAAATTTTTAAATATTATTTTTATACTCCTTTTAAATTTAAACAATTTTATTTCATTATTTCAATAATTGAGATCATGAGTCAACTGAAGCTAGACCACTATAGAAAACCTGGGAGCACGAGACGAGTAGATCCTGGGTTCGAATCCCGCGGAGCAGGGTCGTGGTTGCGTACTGCTCAGGAGTCTCACAATAGAACGAAATGGCCGTCCAGTGCTCCCAGGTTTTCCATGGTGGTCTAGCTTCAATCGACTCATGATCTCAACTATTGAAATTATTAAAATCTCCACAAAACCCCTTCTTATTTCATCATGTTGAATTATATGTTTATCTGCTTTTTATCCATAAGAATTGATGTCAAGAATAATTGTTAAGTGTTTTCTGTCGTTTCATCTGCTTAATCAATGTTCATGATTGATGTTTACAGTGAAACTCGAAACTAGAGATTGTTATTTCAAATGCTAGTATGCTATAAATTAAATTAGCGAGTCATAATAACCATCAACTTGGTCATTTATTTATTTAATCGATACATAGCACCAAAAAAATCACCATACAAATGAAACAATAATATTATGAATAAATAAAGTGAACTGCAGTACAGTCATTGAATAAATGGACAAAGTTAGTCTTTAATAAGGGATGTAGTCAGTTGGAAATACAGTCAAGAAAGATTTTAATCAGTTGGGAGTTTCATCACATTTTATAAAGATTATAGTCAAACACTATATTCCGCTCCATATCTTCTAATATTTAAGGCCACTGACTTGTACCATCTTCAGGACCCAAATAACATGGAGTGACATAAGCCAATTCTATACAACTATCTTTCATACAACAGCGTTCCTATGTACCTGCTCTCAAATTTTTTATATTCAGCCCTAGTGTCAGTAAATAATGCGAGATGCGGAAATTGCTTAGATAACATTCATAAAATATGACTCAGTCATCAATATCGGTGGTTCAAGATGGTGACACTAATCAAATTATTGTCAATACGCCTAAACACGTATCAGCATTACAAATAAGTGTTGCCACCAGATATTAACAATCCTTTGAAGGAAACGATATTCGGACACAAACCTTAGACAAATGTCCCTTGCTCGGAAAGGTCAGGTTTGTCTGAAGTCATAACGATAAAAGTTTTTAATAAATCTCTGCACCTGAACTACAAATATTTTTTCATTTCAAAATAATTATGTCTCAGCAAAATTATTACCTAGTAATATTTTGTTAAACACAAAAACTATAACTCAGAATTTCACAATCAGATGTATTTACTCTGATGAATTTTTAGGGATAAGGTTCTTAATGTCCATTAAAAATACTTTTTTAAATTAAAACGTGATAATCTTGATAATTGTTCTGAATAGACAACAGTTTGTTTATTCTCTAGAATTATTTTCAAGTATAAGGCTAATTAATCCATATGCGAATTAAATCAAGTTATCAGTTTACATAACCAACTGACTATTCATAAACTTTTGCATAGTACATCAATTTCCAAAATACCTAAATTTTGTAGGCTTAGATATCAGAGGTTAATGATTTTATACACCATAAAAAAAGCTTAATATTGAAGTTTACAAAAACTGCTACCACCAGTTGTTGTTACTGAATGGATTTCATTACAACTGACAGGAAATTAAAATAAATGTTATCCAGTGTTATGCACCCACCAATGATAGCAATGAACACGATAAAGATCAGTTCTAGGGTAGGCTGCAATCAATCATAGCGAAGTATCCAAGAAAGGACCTCATCATTCTGAAGGGAGATCTAAACGCCCAAGTCAGAATAGACAACACCGGATATGAAGATATCATAGGACGACATAGGCTGGGAGAGATGGTGGATTGTTTATTACTTGAAATATTCTATGTGAAAGTCATTCTCAATGTGCTTAACTTCTGTATAATTATAGAATATATCTGATGAGATGATATACATATACAATAATGTAAACATTAGTAAATAATATAAGTTTGAATTACGATTGAAATTTTTTATGCAACAGTGAAACTATAAATTTATTTCAACCTAAATAGATAGGAACATTTCAGCATATGAATGTATAACAAGGTATAAATCACTACACTACAAAGATTTCTTCTAATAAACAACAATTTTCATCTAGTATTGAAATCATTTGGATAATTATTCAAAACTATTTTTAAAGGATAACTGTTTTGTTCAAACTCCATTATTCATTGAATCAATTTAAAACTTCGAAATCTCCTTGATTACATGGTGTGATTCACCTAGTATATTAGAATATAATAAATAAACATTTAGTAAACCTCAGCTAACTTATAGTAGAGCATAATAAACATTTGATTTATTCAGTGGTCATCAGTATAAATCCCAAATTGATTAAATAGCTTCAACTGACTCATGATCTTAACTGTTGAAATTACTACAATCTCCACAAAACCCCTTCTGATACTAATCAACATATGCTCACTAGTGACTGGTTTCAAGAGGTATATCCTAGAATTCTAGTGAGAAGCAGTGACCAGTGGCGTTCAATCGGGTCAGTTGTGAGGTAGTATCTCACTGATGACAATGGTGGATGTGTCGCTCAATTTTGTGGATTAGTTGAAGTTAGACATTAACACCGTTGGATGCCGGCTCAGTGGTCTAGTTGGTTATGCGCCTGGCGCGAGACTGGTAGGTCCTGGCTCCGAATCCCGCGGAGCAGGGTCGTGGTTGCGTACTGCTTAGGAGTCCCACAATAGAACGAAATGGCCGTCCAGTGCTCCCAGGTTTTCCATGGTGGTCTAGCTTCAATTGACTCATGATCTTAACTGTTGATATATAAATGATGTCTACTAACTCAAGCTTCGGGGTTTCTGTGAATAAAAATTTATGTTAATTTCTAATTCATAAAAAAAACACATTTTAACAAACAATACACATATACAATTAATTTCCTTGTAATTATTAATTTAAGGATATATTTTCTGATGTAATAAAATTAAAGGAGTGTTGTGGTGTATGCTACTTATGTTTGTCGACATAAGTAGTATGTGACACCAATAGGAAGTGGGAACCTTAGTGGCAGAAAGCTAAGAAGATTAACTTGAAGAGAACAGAAACAAAAATAGAAATGAATTGTGAACTGGAAGAATCATACAGAATATGAAGGACAAGTGATGGAAATTCGCACATGAAGTATTCAGTGTATGGTTCTTATATCTTACGAAGAGATTTCGTAATTTTATATTTAAATATATCTGGTTATCCCCATTTGCGTTCTTGTCCATTACAGTGTTAGTAAAATAATACAACAATGAAAAAGCATCTTTATTCAAAAGATAAAGCTCATAGTACATTATTTTGTTCTTTCATTTTAATTTTCTTTTAAATAGATATTTAGAGAACTTTTAGAGAATACTGATTTGATTAAAGTCGAAGATGATATTTTAGATTATAATGAGAAGGTGCAACAATTATGGAATGAATTAATGAGAAATGAATCAATTTTAGTTGAACAAATTGATGAATTAATTAATGAATTTGAATTAAACTTAAATGATATGATTAGTACATTTATTGAAAATGTTGAAGTAAGTACCTAATATCAACGTACATGAAGTCAATTCTTAATGACATCTTTAAAAGTATAGTGATAGTGTCTTTTAATTATGGCAATGAATCATCTAGGTTCAAATCTCTAGGATAATAACGATTCCCATAATTTCAGATAAATAGTGTGATGAGGAATGAAAACTTAGACTTCTTTCTGTGTATGTGTCGAACTCTCAAGGATCAAATTATATATAAACTCATTAAGATGTTTCCTACCAAAAATACTTTGATAGAATTTTTTCTTACTTATATGTTTAGCTACTCGTCTGCGCTTTACTGATATCCAAAAGGGTCTAATAATTATGCGGCAAAATTGCTGAATATTAAACGTGTATATACCAATTCAAACTATCACAGAATATTATCAAATTATGCAAAAACGGATGGTGGCTAGCATTGGAAAAGAAATAGTAGTCTTAGATAGAGTGGTTTAAACACTGGAGCAACCTGGAATTTCTTTTACATTCGTTGATCATCACTGTGTATAGATCACTGTTTGTTGGCAGGTAAAATTTATCATCTACTAGATTTATCGACTACAGTTTTCCAATATCCCTCTGAAGAGTATTCATTTCCATACAAGCGTGAATTTACTAAGGGCTAAATATAAAACCTTTCCAAAAACACTGGTCACGAATTTATGAGCAGAGATGGATGATGGCTAGCAGTAGAATCCATCGTGCATGTTTCGTCCCATTAAGGACTCGTCAACTAGATGTACGTGAATACATTTCTGCTTAAAATGCCTGTAATTTACTGGTAGTATCAAGGAAATCCGCACAGGATGCACAAATGCCAAAAGAAACCGATCAACTGAAATCCTAAATATCATTGGTACGTTCCAAAAAACCAATATATATAAGACAAAATATTACAAATTAGTATGGAGAAATTCAAGATGCAAATAATGGAATACATGAAGATGTTAATACCGATAGTGATAAAAATGTTAAAGATGCAAGAAGTAATTGAAGAAATAAAACGAAGAATTATTAAGAATTAATACGTTCATCATCACCAAAAGGATTTTCATTTGCATCGTCAACCAATCCCAGCTTTTAATAAAATAGGTTTTTAGAAATTCATTATGATCGATTATCGAACTCAATTCAAGAAAATTATTTACTTGTTTTACACCAACACCCAGTTGTTTCACAGATTAATAACGACTGTTGATCTGGTCAAAGCATTCTGGTCTTATGAGTGAGGGATTTATCCACCAATGGCACTGGATGATCAAATTTTGGATATCGCGCATTGGTTGTAAACTACTTGACCCTTACATAGTCGTCTGAAGGCAATGCACTCAGTGTCAACGTAATGAGAGCAAAACTCGAAGAGGCTATGGATGCGCACTGTCTGGAGTCCTAAACTAGGATTGTTATCCAGTCCCTTATGGTTCACCAGTTGATATTATTCTGTGACAAAAACCAACTTTAAATGACGATTTTATTGTTTCACTTCAATAAATGACTAATGACTTTTTTCTCTTCATAGAAGGATTTTATTTCAGATCAATTATTTTTCAGGAACATTTTACGGAATGTCGCGAATTACAAACTCAGTATCATGAAAGGTTGACAGATCTATGCCCAGGTATTTTAGAACGATTTATGCGTAGTGACTTCCAAAGCGAACCATCAGATGCTCTTTTAGCCGTAAGCTATAAGTTCATTAACATGAGAATGGTTATTTATACTGAACAGTTATTTTTGCTTTAATTTTCTTCTGGTTTGTTGTGACGGGAAACAAACTACTGATATTTTTAGATGTGGATGAGAAATTGACTGGTTATTATCTCAAGTCTGTTTATATTTTGACGACAAATCGATTAAATTTGGAGACTAAACGGAATGTTAATTAGTACTATTCGATAACTTATGCACAACTTTTGAATACTTAAGTGCAAAATCTTTTTGATTGCCCACTTTGTCACGCGGGTAGGAGTATCTAAAGTACGAAGAGTTTCCTGGAGGTTTCATTGGCGCCATCGTAATGAATGTTATTGACCAAAATAAATATATGAATGAAATTAGTTCCAGTTGTTAATAGATGAGCACTTGATAACGTAACTTGAAATATTGATAACTAAAGTGAGTGGGTAGTTTCGTTAAGGTCATATCAGATTCAGCATTTAAATATGATCATTTCCCACTTAGAAGCAGGCATATGTCAAGAGATAATACATATATAAAGGCACCAATTATATGCAGAATTAACTAATTCGGAAATTCCAGAACTATATAACGATTCATTTGAAAATCATTTGTCAAAACTACACAGTAGATTAACAAGTTTCACTGGTTGACTAAGAGTTAAACACAGGGTGGAAATACAAGAAAAGTTTTAAATAATACATGGGGTACAAATATCTTTTAAAAACGATTCTTAAGTTCATTAGCCTTAAATTATCGTATTCAAAGTAATCAAATAAAAGTTTTATGAAGCAATGTAGGACTGAAGTTTTCAGCTTTCAAGTTCATAGGTACCCAAAAACGATATGAACACGTTACCGTTGCTTCGGTACGTAAAATTCCGGAATAATTTTAACAAAAGACGAATCAATAATGATGATAAGAAGTGTACTTGTCTGATAAAATCATTCAAGTGCAGTTGTTAAATAGCACTTATCAAAATTCTTAAAAATTTTAATTTGTTTAACAACATACATTAAGAAATGTTTATCGTAAGTTGCGAAAGTGTCCGCGGATTCGAAAGTAAGATCTAGTTGTTTTTATATAATAAGCCAAAAGTTGTGTGATGTTACTTTTTAAACAACTAATTTACTTAATTTTAAATAAATTATTGCTCTTAAACTAAAGCTTCAGGGAAGTCTATTTTATGTCATCGCTAAGTAATCGATCTACACTTGTGCATATTTCTTGTCATATCCCCATATATCTACAAAAAAATTAGAATATTTTATCTCCAATTATTACAAATTCATTGAAACAAAAGTTTTATTGCATTTTATTTTTTGGTAAATTACAGATTTTTATTGATAAAGAAAGTGTAACGAATGCATTAACAGCCAGTAACGATGCTCATTTACTTAAAATTGATGAATTCGCAGATGAAATTAATGAGAAAGCGAAAAAATGGATTAAGGAAACAATTACTTCCATATATTCCGGTGAAAAATATGATCGAAACAGAGCAAGAGTAATGGAAATAAATCATTTTATAGATGCATTAAGAAATGACGTTGAAAATTTAGATATACCTGCATTAGGTGAATCTTGAATATGCATAATATGATATTCTTTGGGTAACTATCTGGTAGTTTTGTCATAATATATAAATTTAACTGTACTTATTTAAAATTAATCTTGTTTTGATTGGACAGACTGAATAATCAATTCACTATTCATTGAATAATAAGTATTGAAACTATGTATAAATAAACACAGGCTGCTTCATTTGTCATTTACTAATTACTTATTGTTCTCAGTTACCGAGAAACTGTATAGTCCTCTGACCGCCTTAAGCAATAATGCAATGTTTTGAAGAAGATTCTCTGCCTCGAAGCCCAAAATATTGCTTCAAAACTGATTTTACTTTAACACCTATCGTTTCTTGCAATTTTCAACTTTGGTTGGTTGGTGTCTGACGAAATATTCGGTAAAATTCATGAAGCTCAGTTAACCTTTGCCAACTTGTGTTGTAGTGAACAGAAAACGGGTGGGTACAATCGAATGTATTTAACACTAAATTACAGAGCATCTCAATAAAATCTGAGAACCATATATCAAATCATTAATTTGCAAAATGTCCACCACTTGTTTCGAAATGCCTCAGAATTCATTGTTCTTGCATTTTCAAACAAATTACATTCTATTCCCGCTCTTGCTTTCTTGATCTTCTGCTGCCAGACATTGCATTCCTGACTCACGCCATATACTACTTATATCAATATAAGCAGCACGCACCAGTGTCACCTGTAGGGTAGGGAAGGTGTCCGTCTGCCAACTAAGGGATAAGTTTACTGCTCATCAGTTCGACCTTATGGATGTGAAGCATGCCAACTAAGAATCGAGAATATTCGTTACTTATTAGGTGTGTCCGAAGCATCGCTTGTGCATCACCAAGTGTGAGATTTAGGAGTTATGAGCAAGGTACTAAACAGAGATGGTAAATCAGTTGTCTTCATCAGCTGGAACAGGTATTACGTATTTCCCACTACCGTCAACCTCGAAAAGTGCTGTCTAGCATACGATTAGGTTTAAATAAAGCTAGGGACCACCACGCCAAGACATAGCATTGGTTCATAGTGACTGGCACCTGGACTGAGACATGTAAATAGGTAAACACTACATGCTAATATAATATGGCCACGTGGACCGATACACATTACTAACTGACTTTTCCCATCAAATAAGATGTCGAAAACGCCCAAAGCTACTTAAGAATGTCATTAGGTCCGTTGTTGCTGTTAGTGTCTAACATCGACGTCATAATGATTATGTTTGGGCCAATAATTTGTCAGTTTAAGCTGCGATAATGCAATTAAAAAACACTAACATTTACGTGACACGTATTCTCAGCAAATTTTAACCGTTCATCAACAAACTAGATGATCCGTCGAAATGAGGTATGATATCTCAGTGAAATTCTCTATATAATTCGCACTTGATTTAAATTCAGAAAACACTCGTTATTTAGCTTTGTTGCCAAAACTATCTAGTATCATTATTGCACATTCAACTAATATTCAACCATGCTAGCACAAAGTGAAGAAATTACTCGTATTGGATATTATGACCACAATTATATTTCATTTTATGAGACCTACAGGTGAACTGATTAGTTTGTTTCAGATACTCACTAATATAGCTATGTTTGTGCATGAGTCCATTCTTTTGTCCGTCAGTTTTCTTCCATGGATGGAGTAGATAAACTGAATGTACTGGAACAGGTTACAATACAGAAGAAAGCAGTATTAACCACACAACCAGTAACCAATATGTAATAGTCTAATTAACAAGAGCTAAAGGCAGTAACGGGATTCCCATCGGTGTTATTAGGACATATACAGTTTCTTTATCTGATAGTAAGATAATCCTCTCTACTAACAACGGTCGATTTTAATTCGATATGTGCACTAGAAAAGGTTGTGTACGTTTGAAACACAAAAATACTGATTGTAAAGGATTCATTGGGACAAGAGAAAAATGAGGTGACTCTGTAATGGTACCCGTACTACAAAATAGAGATGCTGGTCTTAGTGATCTAGTTCAAGACAATTAATGAAAATAAAAATTCTAGCTTAAAATCATAATGGTTGTAGAACCGAGAATTTCGTTTGTTCTAAAAAATCCTGTGCGCCGAAGTCTGTGAATGCATGAAACTTGTATTATCCCCTATAATTATCCAAACTAACTAAAACTATTTCCATTTAAAAGTATTCACTACCGTAGAAAAATCAACATACGATAGAAAAATAGAATGTATAAAGTTGGAGAAATGACAAAAGATGGATGCTCCATCAGAGAAATACGGATAACTTCGTTGTGATTTCAAGGTATGAACACCACTTCATCAACAAACACAACTTACTTTATGTAAGTAACCTTCCATAAGAAACCCAATCAAAATATTTATATTCAACTTACAAAACTGTAATGTTAACGTTGAAATGAATATGGATTATTATTATAATATAATTACATAAGCATACATACAAGCAATCACAAAAACAAACGTTAGATTAACATTTAAAGTATACATTAGGATATTTAAAGTTTTTCTTATTTCCCAAATGTTTAACAAAGATTAAATTATACAAACAGATGTAGTGTACAAAATAAACATTATACATATAAAACGAATAAGTGAGTTAATCAGTTAGTTGCCTGAAATAGTTTGAGTGAAAGTTGTCTGGAAACAATGGATTACATAAAGAGTAAGTTCATCTTTAATTTCTTACAAATTGTGACCATTATTAGAAATAAAACCAAGACAAAACATCACATGGGATAAATTTAGTATGGAAATTCTCCACAAAAACAGTAAACTAAAAGACGATGAATATGCATAACCACAAGGTTAGAGATGAAATAAATTTGAGCAGTTTGAAAAATGACGACTATAATTGATACCACGTATCATAAATAACCTTAGGGATTAATGAAAATAATAATATCAAGTAGATTTTTTAAAATTCTGAATATAAGGACAGGGTATCATGTGCCTTTACGGGATTTATCTTCTGTGGATGGTACTAACAATAAACTACTCTGTACACTGTAATTGTCAAAAGAACTACATCGGCTACTTCCACCACCATCGGTACTTTTAGCACTATTCAACTGACTACTTGTACTACTTGTCGATGCACATGATCCAACGGAGCAAGTATCAGAAACAGCAGAACTATGAACGCTGCTATTGATTGTGGCCCCTGCTGTACTTCCTGTTGTACTTTCACAACTAAACCCAACAGGAGTTAACAACGTCGTCCCGGTACTTCCAGTTACAGACGAAGGACTTGCACGTCGGTTTCGCTTGCTTTGTGGGGCACCAGGTCCAATAGGTGGAATCAAAATACGCTCAACTGATGTATCAGCAGAAGAATCACACATCTTAAGATTTTTGGATAATTCTACACTTTGCTGATGTGGCTCTACATTATTATTAGAAAGTGGACCACACATCACTTCTGACATTTCCTCATCATGTTTTTCGGCTTCAGGAGATTTGTTCGTCCCATTTGGAAGCTGATTAGAATCACCCATCACAATATCTGCCTCAGTATCAATCACTTTTGGCTGAGTAGCAGAGCAAGCTAGCATAACAGTATGTTGACCACCAGCGTCAACCATTAAAACTCGACTGCAAGAAATATAAGAAGATAACCCATTTTAAATAAGTGCTTAGTTGAGTGAATTCATTGCAAATACAGCTTACATGAAAATGATAAGGTATTACAAAAAAGACAGCTAGTAATTTTTTAAATCCTAATTCGCTACCTTAAGTCTGTAAGTCTTAAATATAGGAGAGATATTTGGTCATAGATGCCTTCAAATAATTGTTTGTATGTCATGAAATAACTTGTTAGGTGATAGTGAGGGTAACCGCGAGTGATAGGTAATAGAGAAGCTATTCAGATAATGACATAAAGCTTTGTTGCCGAAAGTGAATGAACAATGTTTTACACACGCTAGATAGAGCGTTCTATTGAGAACTGCTTGCCAGAACTAAGTGTTAAATGGACATTTACTAAACACTCTTCATTAAATACATTATACCACTTTGAAAGTAATATAATTTACATTCACTTTCTCGTACATTGATTTTACACTTGAAGATGGATAAACTTAATTCCAAAAACTTTAACGCAGAAATATACTATTATTTATTTTAAAATTTGAATAGGAAAGTCCAACATGATAGCTTAAAACTAATCTTCAACCAAACTTATTCTAGCTGAAGCGATGAGCCACGCTTTATCGAATGAACATCAAAACATGATAAAAGCGGAAATCTAAGCCACCATTTTTTTGAAAAAAACTCCATCACTACAAATAAATTTTATCATAAATATCCATTTTTATGAGAAACGAAAGAATCCACTTTATTATTTATTTATTTATTTGAACACATAAATATTGGTTCAAAGAAGCACCGAATACATATGCGCCATACAAGTCACTTCACTTGATATGGACTGTGATACTGACCGTGTGCCCAGACCGAAGCAGATGGTTTTCTTAGGGAGCCACACCCGGAGCCTTCTACCTAAAGGTCTGATCCATAAGGCAGTGGAGCAACGTAAGGAGATGCATTGTCATGGTAGCCGGTCACTAACGATTGGTTCATACACCATGTGTTCCTTCAGAATCCTGGAGCTCATGTGCACCATTGGTTTGAAATCAGGGTGAATCAGATCTTAATTGAAGTGTTTAAATGTAACTGGAAAGTTTGAGGGTGATCAAACTAGCTAATATTGTTTAGAATTCATGCTGAATACGTGAAATTGAAAATCAAACTAAATCCATTAGAAATCATAATGATTGTGATTATTTCCAATCGAAAGAAACATTAGAACTACAAAGTACACCTTATAAAAACATTTTCATATGGACAACAAGCATATCCAACCAATCTATGAGCAAAAGATAAGTTTTATATTTAAAAATGTAAATACTCAAATATCTTACCGATCTTCTAGTTGTTTTCCCACCATCAACTCTGGTTCCCAACAGTCATCTTCACTGTCTCCATGTCCAAGTTGATGATTGCTACCCATACCCCAAGAGTAAGCAAG